ATGCTAATAATAAGGTTCTCTTGATAAGTGATAGAAATATATTAATATATGCTATTAATAAGAACTGGTCCTTGAGATAAATAGCATAAAACTATGGTAAATCTGCAACATCATCATTTGGTTCTGATAAGTCTCATCAATACAGCTGAGCTCAGGGATCTTTGGGTACTTCTCCTTGTCCTGCTCCAAGTGTTCTATCCTCATCATTGACAAATATATTTTCCATTCTTTCTTTTCACCACAGTATACCGACCTTTATAACCTTTTGAAAATCCATGCTCTGACAATTAAATCTATGCAAATATCTGAATTCCCAGCTGATGGCAAGAAACCTAGCTTTTCTGCAAGCATGTTAACCTCAAAATACCCCAAACCAAATTCAATGTCTTCTTTTCTTCCAACTACGCAAATCCTCTACTATATTTCACTATTTCTTTTAAGAAACTACATTTTGAAGAAATATTCTCACATAGTTTCCAAATTCTAAAACAATCAGAATAAACTTTTATTCTAGTAGTTGTGTCATTGTTTCTTTACATAGCTCTTATATAGTTACTATCACCAATCCTATGACTAATTGTAATTTTGAGGTAAACACTACCTCTTAAGGAAAAGAACTGATAGGGATATTTTGAGTCAAGTTATAAAATTATTCCTGTAATGATGACTTCTCAGTTAGAATTAAATTACTTGCTTCTAAATTTTAGCCATATTCCATTGTGAAGCAATGCTGTGACTCCTCCATATTTTTGTAGTTTTATTCATGTAGCTAGCTCAATAGTTGTTGCTAGTAGAATACAGTTTTGAATCATTAACTGTAATTTCAACTGATTTTGACAGCCACCCTTTCCCAATCATAGGATGTACGTAGATACATACTATGTATCTGTACCATCTGTGCCATTCCTTTTGCATAGAATATTCCCTTTATATATCACTTTGCCCCTTGAACAAATATCTTACAAGGCCCACCACAAATACCAAGGCTTCTTGATGGTTTCGCTTCCTTATATTCCCTAAAATATTGCTATCTGTAATTGTTTCTTTTGTTGTTTGACCTTTTTCAGTTTATTCTAGACTCCAAGTTGCTAAATGGGAAAGGTAATATTTGTTCAATCATCCATAGCTAAACTGTGATTGGCACAAAAATTTGTGCACAGAATTTTGTGAATAAATCTTGTTGAATTGCTTAATCTTATACAGTAAGCACATAATTGCTGATTGGCTTGCCTCAGTACACAGTTGTGTGTTTAAGGGAAGAAAAACTATACAGAAGAGGAAATATTTTTCAAGATGTTCTTTCAATTGGCAGCGCAAATTGCTCGAGGCATGGACTGGACTATGATTCTTCCATACATGGGACAATTTATTGTTATTTTCAGAGAAAAAGGGAAGAATCACGTTATATGTATCAAAGATTCTTTAAAAACTATATAGAATCTTGCTACACCTGCAAGTAGTAAATCATAACAATAGTAAAAGTTTATTCCTAGAAATACAGCTTTCTTCAATATCTTACATAGAAAAATAGAGACAACATTAAAAATTATTCCTCTCATCCTCCAAAAACATACCAACAGCAAAACCAGTAAGTTCCATGCTAAAATAGTTTACTAAGGCTTTGAAGTAAACCAAGAAAATATTACATTTTTTATTGTTATGATATCTGAAATTCACACATTCAGGTTTTGATACAATGTGCCCTAATTTATTCAAGTAGAAATCCTGCATTGATATCAACATGTAAAGATGAAAATTTAAATGATATGGCAAGAAAGTAATCAACTTAAATGAAATATTTTTGGCTGTTTCCCTGCTTTTGGAAGTTGTTCTGCAAGCTCTTCATAATGATCACTTATCTGCATTTCAAAGAAAGCTGAACACTGATGTTTTGTTCTTTATTTTATTAATATGATAACTAAAATCCAAAAGTCATAGAAGAATTATTTCACAAAATAGCAATATCCAAACCAAGTATGAAAGTTTTAAAAACTTTTTGGAAATATTTTGTAAATATTTTTCTGCTGCTTTTGCCTTAATAATGTTTATTTACTAAAGTATGGATGATATTTTAGTGCTTTTAAAAACATAAAAGCACTAAAGTATCATCTGTAGGTTTATAAAAATATGCTAGAAATACTAAAAATTTGTATATTATGATAACATTGCACTGATCAAATTGTGTAGTAGTAGGCAACAGAAACTCTCATACATTACTGATATAAGTGTAAAAACATACAACTACTTTGGAATAATGGCAGTATCTACTAAAGTTAAACACATCCATGCCTATGTTTTGCTTAGCAATTCCCCTTCTAGAGAAAGTCTTGGACCTTAACTTCATGATCCCAAAATGCATACATGTATTCACCACAAAAGATGTTCAAAGATATTCACAGCAGTACTAACAAACCCTAAGAAATACCCATATACTCATCAACAGGACAATAGGTAAGTTAATTATGATGTATTCATATAATGGCATATGATACAGCAATGGGAATGAATAAGCTATTGTTACATGCAACAATATGGATAAATCACATAAACATAACACTTATAAAAATAAAGCAGACTCAGAGTAATTATATAAAATTATAAAATGGAAAAAAAAACACATTTATTATATAAGTCAGGAGAGTGATTACCTTTGACCAAGGTAGTGCCTTGGAAAGGATTATGGTGGAGGAAGAGGGTGGGGTGGGTGCTTCTGTGATGGTCACACTTCTACTTGTTGAACTGTAGTCTCTTCACTTAGGTGTGTTCCCTTTGTAAAACTTTTTCTAGAGGGAAATGTATTATTTGTGCATTTTTCTCTGTGTATATTGTATCTCAAAAATATGTTTTTAAAAAATCTTCAAAGCCTATGAAATAAAAAGTGTGTACCAGTAAATTATCTACTTATAAATATCTGTGGTTTCTGGTTGTTGTTGCCTCCAAATTGCCCTGGTAAGCTGTTTTCAAATTTAAAAATATGTTAGGAATTAATGCCATTACTTTCTTTTGTCTTTATCTTTTTTCTTGTTTCCTCTGTGCTCAACACATCAGGGTTAGAATTAGAGAATAAAGAACCATTGCCATGAAGACATTTATTTTACAAAATATTTCCAGTAGAGGGAGCTTTCCTTTTTTTTCCACAGGAAATTCTGTTTTGGCTGTCATCACTAAAAGTGAAAATGCTTAATTTTTTACATATAATTAAAGTTCTTCATAGAGTGATAACTTACTCTCATCTAAGACTAGTCATGGATAGATAAAAATTTATTTGATTTATGAAAGGAGAAAGAAAAACTTGATGAAGAATATAAGTTAAGAAGTAAAACTTTTGTATGTTATATGTCTTTTCAAATAATTACATTTTTGCGCTACTCATAAAATTTATTTTTAACTACAATTATTTAAGATTAATGAAGATAAATTCTTATAATCACAGTCATCCATTTGAAATACTTTTCATAGCTTTTAACACAGTTGGACAAAAATCAGAGAATCTAGTGATGCAAATTATTTATCTCAGAACATGTTTTAACAAATATCATAGTGAATTGCCATTATACAAATTTAACCTCATTGACTAAAACATTTCGGTTTCTGACTTTAGCTTCCTGAATCTATATATCTATCAACTAAGCTAATCTGATTTCTTTGAAAAAAGGCATTTTACCATCTAAGCCATGAAGAAATATATTACAGGGAAATTATCAATTTATATTTTAACATGAAGTTCGTACTCCTTTACATAAAAATTTCATAAATATAAAAGCTCCATATACTTTGCTTTAATTATTACAAATAAAATTTCTGACAATAATAAAGTTACAAAAATTTACTAGATCATATAAAAATGATTTTCATTGAAAATATTTTGGTTAAAAATAGTTGAATTTCTTATTTTGGGAAAAAATCAATAATTTCAGAAATAATAACCATCAAAATCAGTTTCTATTCTATATAAGCAAATCAAAATAATTTAAGTTTCTATAAGGTAGTTTGAGATACACTACTGGTTTTTTTAAGGTAGCCCAAAGATGAAAAATTGACATAACAATAAAGAATATTTACATACTCCTAATAGAAATCAGTATACATATAACTTGGTTACTCTAGTTATTTGACTTCAATCCTCCTTTGAAAACCTTGCAAGCCATAAAAATGGAAATCCTATGGTAATTAATTGTAATAGTAAAATAAAATTTATATTGGTGGGTTAAAATTCTATGTGAGCAGTACCTTACCTTTACACACTCATTAAGAATGGGGTAAAATTATCTGATCCTTTGCCTAGTTCTCTTATACTCTTTAAGTTATTTTTTAAGCCTGCCAAATATGACAGGATCATGATAAGAAAATGACATATTATAGAACAATTTCATAGTTTAATGGCTTTGTTATAATATTACTTTCATCAGGAAGATTATTCCTGACATAGAACATATCAAATAATCTATTTATGATTTTGCTTTCATGTATTACCTGAACTAGGTCATTAGAAAATAGTACTTGCAAGGCCCTTATTTTGATTCATTTAACTTAACCTTTGAATATACCAACAATGTTTGGAGTTTCTCTCATCAGTAAATGACTGTCTTCTATATTTCTGCATTTAAAAAAGTAATGTCTCATTTCTAAATAGTAAATGTTTTGTAACTTTCAAAAAGAGAGTAACACCCAAATTATATAATTCACTTAGAAAAGGGGAACTTTAAAAGCAATTTGAGAAGGAAAACGTAGGCTTTTGAAATAATTTGTATTTTTTTTTCTCAGCTGCAAATAACTCAAGATGCCGGTTGCTAAAATGCACTAATTAATGAAAAAACAAATGAGTAGGTCTCAGTAGATAGACAGCTAGACAATTTAGATAGACAGCAATGCTATTAAATTGATTGTTTCAACAAGTCAATCTAGAATTGCAAATTTCCCGGTTTCATCAATAACAAGTGGTTGTAACGTAATACACAGGCTTAATGAGTTCTCCGACTGTTAAATCCAAGCGGACTCACCTGAGTAACAGTGCTGCTTCCCAGAAGTAAAATCCCGAAACTAATGTCCGAAAGTGTCTCACGTGGGCCATGATACGGAGAGATATTCACGATCCTGAAAATAGTCTTATCCAAGGCATGGGGAACCAGAAAGACAGAATAAAATGTGCAATCTAACCCCGCATGGTGTTGGTGTAGACTGATGCTTGGGAAGCTTCAGCACCTTAGACAGCTCCCTGCAGTATGCGGACCCCTTCTCAGCATTGAGCAGAAGGGGAGAGTCACAGGGTTATAAATGTGCAGGTGATTTTTAGAGTGAAATTACAAAAACGAGTGAGATGAAATATCTGAAGTGCCTAGGTGCTGGGCAACAATTCTCTAAAGCTCCAGCAGCAAAGGAAGAATGTTCGTCCTTCCCTGACTGAGACCCAGGATTGGAGGAAGAAGAGCAGCAACAGCGGGAAAGAGGATGCCTCTCCACCTGCTCCAAGCGCCGCCCGCTGGAATCCCGCTCTCCACCTTGGGCTAAAACCCGAGACCTGGAGCGCGGCAAAGGGAAGGGGGGGTGGGGCCGGACGACCTGTCCTGCTGGCCAATCACGACCGCACAGCGGGACGGAGTGACAGGCCACTTACGACGGTAGGCGGGGCTTAGCATTTCACCCTTTAACAAAACCCAAACAAACCAAAAGGCGACTGGAGCGAGGTGGGCGGAAAAAGCCACAGGGAAAAGTCAGCGATTTTGTGATTTAGGTAGTATAACCCCGCGGGAGGGACCCTCCAGTATTCTCTTCCGGGAAAAGACACACTTTAGGTCTTTTCGGATGTGACACTGTCTCTTAGACTCTACACCGAAATGCAAGAGTCAACAGTAAACCCAGACCCTGGCGGAGGGCTGGGCAAGAGAAGACAATGTGGTGCATGAACGCCCGTGGAACGGAAGAACCAGCTGCTTCCAGAATCCTCTCAAGCCTGGCCAGCTTCTGGCCAGGAAGCATTGTTGACTGGATTTAAGTTGGGTTTCCTTCAGTAATAGTAAGGGTTCTAAAAAGATGAAAGTGTGAAGTCTAAAGAGATGGCTACTAGAGACGCAGTCCTTCCCACTTGTTTTTGTTTTGTTGTGTTGTGTTTTGTTTTGTCTTTCCCGTTTTACATCTTCATAGTAAGTTCAAGTGAGAACAACAGCTAGGTCACATGGTACCATAAGGTCCATCTTTTCTCCATCATGTCAGCCTTTCTGTCCTTCTTTTTCTCTATTTTCCCCCTCCTTCTCTGTCCCTGTTTTCCTCCCTTCCCACATTTATTTACTTTGGGTTTTGGATGGAAGACTGGAAAAGAAAAGTGTGTGTGTGTGTGTGTGTGTGTGTGTGTTGTTGTTACGTATTTCAAAGTAATAGAATTTTTAAAAAATTAAAACTTATTTGATCTTTATAGTGGCTTTTATTTACTATCAGCCATGATCAAAATGTTCGCTCCTTGAATCTTAGATTTTCCCCAAAACTTCCTCAGATATTTATTCTGAAATCCTTACTTTCATCCCTTAACTTACTCTATTGACATATCAAAAATGATTCCTTATCTCGACACATTAGTTATTCCTGAAATTCTCTGTTTAACTGGAAAGCATAAGTCACCACCTTCCAACCCTCTCATATGAAAAATCTCTCTCTCTACGCTTTAGTAAAAAAGTTTTATTTACATTCAGTGACAATAAAGAGTTTCCCAGATTTATTTCTAGATGTTCTTATTATACTTGTCTCTTTTCACATAGTGGTTTTCTGATTTAAATGATAAATTGCCAGAAGTTTCATAAGGAATACCATTGATTCTGCCCAGGAATATTGCACCTGGAGAAGATTCATACCATTTTTATTAACTTAATTATTCATGATGAATCTTTTGAAATCTCACTAAGCACAAAAGCTTTTTAGTTGGTCATTCTTTGAATAGCAGTAATAATTGTTTAAAATCGTACACCGTAAAAAACTTCAAAACTTTATTTGAAGAATACGTAGATTCCTTGCTCTGCTTAACCACTGATTGGGTACTTTAAGAAAAGCTATGCTCTTTAAAAAATATTTTTTAATATATATTTTTAAAGTATATTTATTGAGAAAATTAGATTAAATGACCTTGCAGATTTATTATCTGGCTTGAAGGAGACAACTAACGTATGCTTAAGTCAGTAAATTAATAGATAATATTAAAACTCTTTATAGTAGTCTGGAAAATTAAATTACACAATAACTTAAAAGGCAGGATAATTTTAACTATTTCATCTTGCAGTTAACATAAAATGTAGGAATATACTTTATAAAATTAGTATGACATAAAATGAGTATGGATCTAATCCTGTTTTTGATATAAAGGTCATGTGAGAGAATGGCTGGAATCCTCATAATACTCATTTTTCCTAACACCATAATTATTTTTTTCAAATTACTTATCACTCTTTGTTATCATCCTCCTCATTTATTTGTTTGACTTTTTCACTAGCGTAAGGACAATGGCCTCTATTTAGCACAGCACTTAGCGTATAGTAGATACTAAATATTTGTTGGATGCATTAATTATCATATTGGAAACACAATATGCATTTTTTCTATTAATAAATGAGTGAACTTGTTACAGTGCATTGGGAAGTAGAGTAATTACGTATATTAAAAATTGAGTTGATTGTGGTGCTCTGTTTCAGATAGCATTTGATGTTTAATTTCCTAGTGTATTTTTGTTGATGAATATTTATATTATTTGTTTTAATTTATATAAGGTCAAATGGAATATTATGCGTCTACATATTTTTGGTAGCTATCTTGTAAATCTTATTCTTTTCAGAATAGTAGTCCTGATTGAATGGGTAGGCGACTGAATGTGTTTCTGGGGCAGGGAGAACCTTCTGTGGCTGAAGAGTAGCCGATCAGCCCATTCATATACAACTAAGCTGGATTCTGACATGGTCAAATCTCAGCTTTACCCTTTGTGGCCTTTATTATTGCTTTCTTGCACTAACAAATTCTACTTCACATTATATAGGACATGGGGCTTCGGAGCTTAATGGGATATCAATCTTCATCATGCTTAATTCTTACCTTTCAAGAGAAAGCAATTGTAGACCAATGTGGTTAAGTGATGGTTCCAAGCCCTCATATCCAGTAAGCTGAAGATATCAAACTTGAATTTGGGACTTTAGGTTCATTGTCTAGTTTTTCTTTTGTTCATTACCATGGAGCTATTTTTAAGGCACATTTATTCTATTTTTTTCAAAATATATGTACATTGCCTAAGCTACAGAAAGATCAATTTCAGTATAATGATAAAGGTGCCTCTTTTATTTAGCTTTTTTTTTTTTTTTTTCATTTTCCCAGTTGTTTCTACCAATGATCTAAAACCTATAATATTTTCCACACATTGTTAAGATGCTTTGCTATTTAATGAAAGCCCCATATGCTCTTTAAGTCAATGTAGTATAGAATTAGTGCTAGTTTACTGAGAGTTGATTGGATTCAGTAGCATTGAATCATTCTAACCATCTCATCAAAAATTGATATACAGCACAAAATGCCAGTTTAAACACTTAACAAAAGTAATGTTACTTTTGAAATAATTAGAATATCGGCATATTTGAATTAACAAATTCTAAAGTTGAAAGAATGTTTTAATTTCGGGATCAATCAGAAAGTTGCTTATTTAATATAAATCTAGTAGAGAATAATTGGCCTTATGGCAGGCTTACATATTGTCACTGAATATATGAGCCTAGTGAACTTACCTTTTGCATAGATATTGACCTACTGAGAACAGTGGAATAATCATGAAATGTTATTAGTTGATTAGGTGACACTCTGTTTTGAATAGTGGGAGAAATATCCAATAATTTATTTCCATTTGCTTGTCTAGGCTACACAATTTTGTACATGAATCTCAGCAACAGCTTCCTAATTGTTTCTCCTGCTAATCTAATTAAAGTTCTACTGTAAATATTAAGTTTTTTTAAGTAAATAAAATGATGCTACTTCTATTCCCAAAGCCCTTTATTTCCAATGCAACAAATTGAAATTCATGATCCCTTTTATAGCTCACGAGACTCTGAATAATATTCCATTGGTAATCTCCTGAGCCTCATTTTTTAAAATGTGAAATTGTATTTATTTTTTTGTACATTTTGTAGACAGTTTTAACTTTTCAGAATATTTAAATTAGTAATTGTAAAATACACAGAAAATTTATTTTGCTTATTTAGTTTTAAAAATATTTATTAAGAGATGATTGATGTTCAAAAAACTATGGATATTTAATGTACATGTCTTAATGTGTTCGGAGATAAGGATACACCTTTGAAACCATCAACACAATCAATGCTATAATCCCATCCATGACCTCCCAAAGTTTTCTCCCACTCTTTCGATTGTTTTGTTTTTTCTTTTTGTGGTAAGAGCATTTAACATAAGATTTATCTTCTCAACAATTTTTAAAGTATACAATACAGTATTGATAATCATAGGACCTTTGTTGTACAGGAGATATTCAAAATTTTTTTTGTCTTGTGTAATTGAAACTTTAGAACTTTTGTCCAATCCTTCCCCAGTTTCCTCCTCCCCTATCCTCTGATAACCAACCCTTTGCTCTGCTTCTGTGAGTTTGACTGTTTTAGACTCTACATATACATGAGATCATATAGTATTTACCCTTCTGTTGACTGGCTTATTTCTCTTAACATAATGTCCTTCAGGTCCATTCATGATGCCACAAATGTTCAGGTTTTCTTATTTTTTAAGGCTAAATAACATTCCTGTGTGTGTATATATTACCATGAATCATGGTGTCACAATTGATTTCTTTATCCATTCATCCATCAATGGACACACATGTTGTTTCCATGTCTTGACTACTGTGAATAATGTTGCAGTGAACATGGAAGTGCAGATATCTCTTCAACAAACTAATTTCAATTCCTTTAGAAATGCACCCAAGCGTAGAATTTCTGGATCAAATGGTAAGTTTAGTTTTAATGTTTGAGTAACCATCTTGTTTTCCACAGTGGCTCTATCAATTTATATTCCCATCAACAGCATAAAGTATTCTCTTTTCTCTACATTTTAGCTAACACATGCCCTGTGTTTTTTGATAATAGCCAACTTAACAAATATGAGCTGATATCTCATTGTGGTTTTAATTTGTATTTTCCTGATGACTGGTAAAAGCCATTTTTCATATACCTATTGGCTATTTTATGTCTTCTTTTGAGAACTGTCTGTTCAGTTCCCTTGTCCATTTTTTTGTTTGGGTTGTTTTATTGCTATTGAGTTGTTTGAGTTTATTATAAGTTTTAGATATTAACCCCTTTTCAGATACGTGGTCTGCAAATATTTACTCTCATTCTATAATTTACCTTTTCATTTTGTTAACTGTTTCCTTTGCTGTGCAGAAGCTTTTTCATTAGATGTAATCCCACTTGTTTATCCTTGCTTTTGTTTTCTGTGCTTTAGTGTCACATCCAAGAAATCATTGCCCAGTCTAATCTGTAGAAGCTTTTCCCCAAAGTTTTCTTCTAGGAGTTTTATTGTTTTATGTTTTACACTTAAGTCTTTAATCCATATTGAGTTGATTTTTGAATATAGTGGGAGATCAAGTCTAATTTCATTTTTTTTTTTGCATTGAATATTTGATTTTTCCAAAACCATTCATTGAAGAGACTACTTTCCCTCATTGTGTATTCTTGGCACTCTTATCTATTCAATTGGTCTGTATGTGTGTTTTTATGCCAGTGTCTTGTTTCAGTAACTGTAGTTTTGTAATACATGTTCAAATCAGGGAGTGTGATACTGTCAGCTTTGTTCTTCTTGCTCAAAATTGCTTAGGCTTTTTTT